AAAGCAATCTTTAGAGGAAAAGTCAGTGTCGAGTCCTTTAATTGCTCCATGTAAAAAGGATGTGCCATTCACGTTAAGTGATTTCGGTAATTACACAATGCCTTTATTCTATAACAGTAAGGAGGGGGCGTGTAAAATGTAAGAGTAAAGAATTAATTTAGTAAATAATATGTAAATTAAGAAGTTATTTTTAGATTTTTCTTAAAACTTGAATTGGCTGAAAGTACTTTAATTATTTGATAATTGCATTGGTTAATTTATTCCCGCCCCCAACAGAAAGTCTACGTATGTTTTGGGGGTGTCATGGAAGAAAGGCCAAGCTCTCTGAAAGAAACAGGAGGTTGGGGGTACAAGATATTAATAATGACACAAATTGCCTAATATTAAATACAAAGAGGTTAATAATTCAGACTCTCTTTGCCTATCTCCAGTTTCTGCCGAGGCTTCTTCAGGCAGATCAGCCTGAAAGACCAGACCACAGCCTAGAGCATTTTCCTCTCTCCACACCCACCTTTCCCCCAGGAACCACCTCTGGGACATATAAACCTCCAATTACTCACTGCTGCCCAGCACGAGGACACGTCTATTTACGGAGTGGGTCAATCTTGGGATAGCAAACTTGGAGTGAAATCCCTGAATGTGAAGGCACTGGGAACCTCTTCAACCACACATATTGTTGGAAAGAAGGAGAGGTGCTGAGCTAATTACAGGAAACTGGAAGGATTATTCTAATTTTGAAGCTTCTGGGAGCTCAGTGAAAGTCTCTCTAGATTAGGCTTGAACACAGACATCGCCTGAGAGACTTAAAGGGACATGGCTATCTGAGGGACCAGAGCCATAACTACTGGAAGACATGGTGGAGGGAGCAAGAGCTATGGACATCTGACATTCCCGGCCTCAGGGAACAACTTACTCTAAAGAAATTATTTCCACCTCTTCCACCTTCCCTAGGCCAATATGAAACACAGAGAAAGGTTTCTCCCCTACGTATTCCCCACAAAGTGGGCGGAGGGTCGGAATTCCAGGATAATAACCTGGCAAGCAGGGACTATTGGCATTCTGCCATTGCTTAGTATGTCAATCATCAAACAGTCCCCCCAGTTGGTTGTGTACCCCACTTGACAAGAAGCTGAAGCTTCCAAAGGGTAACCAGTTCCACCAAGGAGGCATGGCTGGCAAGTGGCAGAGGCAGTACCAAATCCAGGAAGGTCAAGTCCAGAGTGGCACTGTGCCCACTCCTGACACCCCTGCCACTGGGCAAATGAATCTCCAAGAACTCATCTGTGCCCTGGACCCCTCCAATATCCCTGGACCTCTCAAGATTTGGTCCAAGAAGTTTTAGAGGGGAGGATAATGGGACGTGTCTTCTCTTTAGTGATTTTAGTCAACAGGGTCTGCATGTCTCTGCAGCTTCTCCTTCCTGGTCTCCTGGGTACCTCCCACCACAGAGCCAGAGAGGCCCAGTGGGCAATGGTGAGCAAAACACAAATGTCTCATTCAGTCCTTGGTGGCATGAGGGGACAAGGGGAAACTCTAAGGAGATGGGGAGGGAGGGTCACGATATTCAACTGATGATCATCACTCACAGACAATAGAGGTAGGTGGACAGGAGGGAAGCAAAGAAGATTCTCAAAGATTCTATGGAGAATAAGCTCCTATGAAGAATAACCCCATGAATTATAAATGATTTTTTTTAGAACTTCACAGCTTGCAAAGTCTGCACAATGACCCTGTGAAGTATATATTGTTGCCACTCCAACGATATAGATGAGGGACTCTGACCAGAGAAGCTGCTACTGAGGGCACCTCAGAAAACAGGAGTTGGGGGCTTAAAAAAGGAGGGTTAGTGAGGAGACTTTCAAAGTAAGAGTTAAACCCCAGCTCCCCTCCTGACCCTGACAGAAGGGAAAACACCACAAGCTCTGGAGACCATACTGCACACCAGGAGGTCCATCCGAGGACAGAGGACAGAGGACTGAATCCAAGTCCACACGATGACAACAGGGAGTCCCAGCCCTCTTCTCTCTGCTGGCCCCCAGGCCTCCAGAACAGAGATGCTGGAGTCTCTGTGAGCCCCCCCATCCCTACACCCACCCCCTGCTTCCCAGACTGCAAATGTCTGCCCATCGTGCCTCCAGTCCCCGTTCTGCCAACTCCACACTTGAGACTCTGTCACCTTTCTCTCGGCTGATTTCACGCAAATTCAATTGGGCCTCAGCCAGGCTGGGTCTTAAATACATACTCACTGAAATCCAATTAACCCTCAATAAAGGTCGTGCAATCAATAGTCGTCCGATGGCTTGAAGAGGCTCCATCCAGCCTGGGAATGCGCTCCCTCGCGACCTTTACTTTTAATGAAATCAACGGCAGTCACTGTCACCAGCTCTTAAAGTGACTGGCAAATATGATCATGGGTCAGGCCCTCTGTAATATCTGCTGCTAGGCTCAGAGATACAAGCAAGGGCTCCTACGGGCTGCTGGCTCCTCACAGCCCCACGTTCCCTGGCAGATGAGAACAGCTGGGCGGGCTGCCTTGTTCCCAGAGGTGCAAATCAACCTAGGTGCCCAGGCCCTCTGGGCCTGGGGAAGGTGGTTCTTGAACTTCAATGAGTATCAGAAATCACTTAGAGATATCCTTCAATCCTTCCCCTCTCCCAGATTCTGATTAGTAAATTTGGGGTGGGCCCCAGGAATCTGCATTGTTAATAAGCTCCCCAGTGATTCTGAAATAGCTGGCTCAAGTCCTAGCTCCCAGCAAGCTGAGAATCATTGCTCTCTCAAATATCCAAGCAGGATATACCCTTAGAGTTCAATTAATCCAAAACCTTGAATAAGAAAACTGAGAGCCAGGACCGGTTTGGCTCAGTGGATAGAGTGTAGGCCTGCGGACTGGAAGGTCCCAGGTCTGATTCCGGTCAAGGGCATGTACTTTGGTTGTGGGCACATCCCCAGTAGGGGGTGTGCAAGAGGCAGCTGATCGATGATTCTCTCTCATCGATGTTTCTAACTCTCTATCCCTCTCTCTTCTTCTCTGAAAAAAAAAAAAAATCAATAAAATATATTTTTTTTAAAATGCAATAGCTGATATTAAAAAAAAAAAAAAAAAGTTAACATACCTTTGATAAAAAGAAAAAGAAAAAGAAAACTGAGATCCAGAAAAGGAGAGTTATTTGTCCAAGGTCATACATTGAGCCACTGGCAGAACTGGAGTTTGAACCCAAGTCTCTTGCTTCCTAACCTGGTGTTTCCTTACCCGAGTCTACTGTGAACTGGTTACTTAGGCTGGTCTTGAGGTCCTCACACGCTGGCCCAGTGGGGCTGGGATGTTGCAGGGTGAGAGGGCCTCTTTGAAGTGCAGAGGGATGACTCCACAAGTGGTTGGAGGGGTTTAGAGCCATCCCCACCCAACTCGAGATTCCTTCTAGAGCCAGCCCCTACTGAGCCCCACCTTCTGGCTGAGTCACCAGCTCATAGCAGCCAAGATGCCACTAACCACCCTACACCCCTTGTCACCCTTATCTGTCCCTTATACTTCCCTCCCCAAGGAATACACACAGCCAGGACATCCTCAGGACAAAGAGTCACTTCAGGGATGGGATCCCTGAGTCCCACAATCCTAGAACCTGTGAGAAACTTTCAGGGTGTTTCATATTCTGTGTGGGTGTGCACTTGCATATACACATACATACACACACATACACACACATACCACCAGTCTTTCATGAGACCTGTGGCTTTGATATTAGCTGATAAGAGATTGATTTCTAGAAATTAGGACCTATTGCTGGTCTACTCTGAACATCACCATTGGTCTGCCATAACACAGTGGAGCCCTTGGCCCAGAGCCCCCTGTCCAGCCTAAAGTTTCTGTGAAAGTATTTAATGACATCATTTTAGAATACCAAAGAGCTTTCTAGGTCATACAAACACTGGAAGCCAGGGGCCAGAGATTAAGAAATTAAGTAATTGATTCCTTAGGAATGCTTAAGCAATTAAGACAGATGGTAACCCAGCCAGTGTGGCTCAGTGGTTGAGCATTGACCTATGAATTAGGAGATCATGGTTCGATTCCCGGTTGGGGCACATGCCCAGGCTGCAGGCTCTATCCCCAATAGGGGGCCTGCAAGAGGCTGCCAATGGATGATTCTCTCTCATCATTGATGTTTCTATCTCACTTTCTCTTTGCCTTCCTCTCTGAAATCAATAAAAATATTTTAAATAGTATTATTATAAGGGTAGACGCATAGACCAATGGAAGAGAAGAGAGATTTTGTTAGACTCAAAAGCCTAGACTGTATGATTCCATTTATATGAAGTTCAGGAGTGAGCAAAACTGTTCTTTGATGTCAGAAGTCAGGGTGAGAGTATAGACTGGAAGGGGCATGAGGAAGCCTTCTGGGATACGAGAAATGACTTGAATCTTTATCTGGCTAGCGATTATGTAATACAATTAAGATCTGGGACTTTACATAAGTTAGGTCTAAGTCTCTGATTTTTCATCTGCAAAATTGAAACAGTAAGGTCTCCCTCCTATGGCTCCAGGGTAGAAAGGGCCTGGCACAGGGAGCCAGGCTGTCAGTAAACATTGGTGGTAAAGGAGGATACTAAGAATGAAAACAACAATTATCAACTAGCTCCCAATCTGGAGCACTAACCACAGGCCAGGCGCTATGCTAAGCACGGCTTGTGTGCTAACTCAGCCCTCACCTCTCTATCAGATGGAACCATGTCCATATGGAATGGATGAATGACTCTGGATATAAGCTAGAGAAAGGCTGCAATCAGATAGTGCGTGGACAGGAAAAGTTCTCGGTCAGTGCTCCAACTCCTGCTTCAAGAGTTACCGAAGTGACCCAGATTCCACTGCAATCCAAGGCAAATCCTTAGGAGGAAGATGGGAAGACAGACAAGGAAGGACTCTAAAGTCATGCAGACCTGGATTCTAAACCCAACTCTGCTTCTGCAGCTGTGCAAGAGAAGCCATGAGCACTCAGCCTCACCTCGTTGACATCGATCTTGTTCCTCTCCATGTAATCTCTGTCATTGACTTGACCGCCATCCAAAAACTCCATCAAAAGGACACGCTTGGTGGACAGCTCCCAGTAGATTTGGGGCACCTGGAAAAGGAAAGGGTGGGTCAGAAAAGTCTGAGGATTGGGAGTTAGGGGGAGGGGACGAGGACCACCAAGAGTCTTAGAGAACCAGACAATAGCCAACACTCCTCCCAGGAACAGGAGAGAAGGCCTAAGAGGGGCATCAGCAGTGGCAGGTGGGAAAGACACGAAAAGAGAGGAGGCCAGGCTGCCTTCCTCCACCAGCCAAGCCCCATGCCCCTCCCACTTGGGAACCAGAGAAGACTTCCCTGTCCTCTTTAATGCCTTCCAGGCACATTTAACAGCCAAAACTAAAATTGGGACTCAGGGGAAAATGTGGGGAACCTCTCATACCTGAGCAAGAGTTGGTATTAAAAGCTGTTTCCCTCTCTCTCTCCAGGCCCATTTCAGGCTCCCTGACATGAATCTCAACCCTCTGCCTGTGCAACTGGTGTATTGTACCTATGCATGAATGTATAAATGTATGAACAAATGCATGTTTATTGGATGATCAATTTTTCGGTCAGGAAGTTACGAGTTTTCTCCTGCTCTTTCCTACAAGACCCTAACTCAATACCTATTCCCAATCCTCCTCTTTCCTAGAGACAGGAAATACAAACTACTTCCTGGCCAGCCTCGCAATAGGTATGGCCATGTGACACAGTTCTGGTTATGAGACACATTAGAGGTCAGGTAGGGAGTCTGGAAAGATTTTTATTTTCTAGACAAAAAAAGGGATGTTTGCAGATGATGCAATGATTCTTAAACACTTGTCTTCCTACCTTACAGTGAGAGTGGTACTGGGAGCTGCAGCAGCCCCCTTGCAACATGAGGAAAAGTTCAAGGAAATCAGAGGTGCCAGCCCTGATATTGTTAAACCACCAGGCAACTTCTGCGAGTCTTCTTGCTATGTGAGGAAAAGAAATCCTTTCTGTCTAAGATCCTTTAGAGGAGCTGTCAATTACCTATAGACAAATGCATTCTCAACTGATATGCTCTTCTATCCTCTCTGACTCTAAAAACACCTAATAGCTAAAAAGAGAAGAGATTTCCAAGAAGAGGCAAGAGAATGGACTGCACCAAGGGCTGCTGGACTGCAATGTGAGTGAGCGACCCCCATCAGTCCCACCACGGTTGGGAAGGAAGAATTACCAGCTATCGGCACACCACATCTCTCCAACAAGTTGATGGGTTTATTTCTACTTACAAATAAAGAAACAAGGGTCCTGACTGGTTTTCTCAGTGGTTAAAGCATCAGCCCATGGACCGAAGGGTTGCAGGTTCCATTCCCGGTCAAGAACACAAACCTTGGTTGCAGGTTCCCTAGCCCTAGTAAGGGCTTATGCGGGAGGCAACCAATCCATATGTCTCTCACATCCATGTTTCTCTTTTTCTCTCTCTCTTCCTCTCTTTCTCTCTCTTTCTTCCTCTCTCTCTCCCCCCTCTTCCCTTGCTTTCACACTCTTTCTAGAAATAATTGAAAAAAATATCCTAAGGAGAGTTAAAAATAAAAAATATATATATAATAAAATAAAGAAACAAGGGAAGCTAATTCAAGTGTTTGGGGAATAAGTACTTCCTTCATCCCAACCCCGAAAACTCATCTAGCAGTAGGAGAGAAGCTTTGACATAAAAAAAAAAAAAAAAAAAAAAAAAAAAAAAAAAAAAAAAAAATGTTCTCTGTTCCTAGTTCTGCTAATAACTGTGTAACTTAGTCCAGCCCTTAGCTCCTCTGCATCCTGGTTCTCATTAGAAAGGAGCCTGTTCCTGCCCCTCTCGGTAAGGAGCTCTGAGCATAATTGGGGCCTGCGCACAAGCCTAAAGCTCCGGCTCCCTGGAACAAAGGGTCCACTGCAATCAGGATGTCATTCTGGTTTGCTACCTTCCTGCAGCTTTTGTCATTTGAAAACCTGTGACTCTCAGTTACTCTGAAATTGAAATTCAGTTTTGCTTGGCATTTTTCAACAGGTATCTTTAAAAATGTAAGTGCAAGTCTGCTGCTGTTGTTCATGGCTTCTGAGCGCAGGGGACATGTTTGGGGTTAAGGTCTTCCCTCGGGGTGTCTGGAACGGAAGCATGGCAGTGGGCACCCGGGGCTCTGCCGACAGGCAGTCACACCCCCATCTGAGCCACCTGGGCAACATGGAACAGCCATGAAGGAGCCACCAATGGAAAGAGAATCTAAAGGCTGGAGACTTTCTGGACTTGTCAACCAGGGTCATGGGTGTGCTGGGTTCCCCCCTCTCCACCTTTCCCCCTCCATTCACAAAGTGCAAACATCCCAGCCTCACAGCAGAATACATCCTTGCTTCAGCTGTTTAGATCTGAAGTGACAGACATATCAAGCCTGGGAGATCTAGGCATTTGTCCTGGGAGCTCAGGGAGGACACTGAACCTCCTTGATGTGACATGAAAATGACCGCAAAATGCAAACCTGCTCCCTGCCCCTTGATGATAACCTTGGCTTGACAGGAGACTTGCCCCTGAATCACCATGTGAGCAGGAGGGTTTGGGGTGTAAGGGTAAATTCACTTTACCCAGACACCCATGTTGCACCACTGACCCTTTCCCTGCTTCTTCTATCAAGGACAGGAAAGATGAAAGAGGAAAATTTTAAAGCAGCAATAAGAACTTGCCCTCCATCCCCCAACAAAACTAAACTCTGGGAGGCTCATGACCAGGGCACCTGTTGACCCCACGGGCAGGGTCACACTGACCGTGAGGACCTCCATATTCTGGGTCTACTTGGAAGTCCCGCTACTGTAGTCTCCACCTGCCCCCACACTGGGGTCAATCCTGCCCTTAGGAAGAGAGCCCAGATTCTGGAAAGTTCCAGCTCCAGACCCTGGGCCTGTCTCACAGTCTGGCTTCCACTTGGTTCCTGTGCTTTGATCAACGCACCTATGAAGCAAGGCCTGGATCGTCCGGACCACTGCCCCTTACCCAGGGCTGCAACCCTCGTCACCTGCACCCGGCGTAGCTGAGCACAGTCTCAGAGCCAGTCTATCAGGCCGGAGCCCCAGCTGTGTCTCCTCCAAGCTGCGTGGCTGAGGCCCAGTTTTATAACCTCTCTGAGGGCCAGTTTCCCCACCTGTAAGAGCATGATGACCATCACAATGAAAGCAACACTCCCTACTGCCAAGTAGCACATGTGCAGTCCTGGTGCTGGACACAGAAGCACTCAACTTGCAGTGGCTGGACAACCAGCAGCTGCCATGTGACAGCCTTGCAGTTTCACCCGTGGTTCTGATACACAACCAGAGCTCAGGGTTCATGGAACAGGCAGTGCAGCATTATTCAGATCTTCCCCCACAAGTTATCACATGGGCAGAAGAGCACAGAGGTTAAGCATGTAGGCTCTGAAGCTGGCTGCCTCTGCCCCTTACCAGGAAGCTGTGTGGCCTTGGGCAAAGGTTTCATCTCTCTGAGGCCCAGTTTTTCCACTGATGACATGAGCTAACACCAGCATCTCCCTTCTGGGGCTTTTGTAAATATTAAAACATAAACACATAGAATGCACTTTAAAAATGGCTAACAGCATAAGCATGTAAAAAGCTTAACTAATATTGATTGCTATCCATCAGCAATTCTGAGTCTTTGGATTCTGAGAAAGCCGTGAGAAAGAATCACTGATGCCCAACAAGGCTTGACTGCAGTGTCTGGGGAGGCCCAGCTCCTGGCCTCCCACTGAGGAATCGTGACCTTGGGGTGGTGAACACAGGGCAATATACAGAGGGTATATTCTAGAATTGGACCCCTGAAACCTCTATACTTTTGTTAACCAGTGTCATCCCAATACATTCAATAAAATGTTTTTAAAAGGAAAAAAAACTGGAGTGGCCTTACTCAAAAGATGGTGCCCATACACTCCCATCTCTTCCTGTCCCAAACCCTGCAGTTACCAGACTCCTCCCTCCTCCCTGCACTAGCTGTCTCTCAGGTCAGTAACAGGCCTCACTGCCTATCCTGTCCCTGCCCCCAGCACACACACTCTGACGCCAAATCCACAAATGCCCTGGTTTTGACCGTTCAGCCTTGCTGCTTCCTCATCCTGTTCCTGTCTCCCCACCACGGCATCTGCATTCAGGCCGAATCTAAAGCCCCGAGATTTATAGCCTGGGGCTGAGGCTATTACACCCCGCTGGAAGGTGTCACGCACACTGAGAGGTAAACTCTTTGTTGAGACTTAATTATGCACAGATGTTGTGATGGGGTGCCAGTGCGCGAAAGCAATCTATCTCCAGTTTTAAGAACTGAACTGGGTGTTCAGCACACAAAATTTGCTTCCTACTTGTTATTTGTTTAGGCAAAATTAATGGCTCAGAAACCTTAACGCTACCACGGTCTTAGGAATGGCGTTCGGGTTTTAGAAGCAGCAGGTCAAATAGTTACGTTAATTATTTACCCATTTGGCATCCTCATCTCAAAAATTTGTGTTATTATTATTAATACATGTCTTGGTCTGGCAGATGCCAGTTGGTCCCAGCCAGGGGACAATTTTGCTGTTTCCATGGGAACCGTGGAGGAGATGGTTCTGTTTGTCTGGCTCATAGTTCTAGCTCTGAAGAGTACCTCTGCCTGGTAAGAGGCAACAGAATGTCCTCAGCCGAGTACCAGAGTCAAAGTCAGAAAAGCTGGGTTGCAGCCTGAGCATCTCCACTCAGACTGCCATCTGCAAAATGGGATGCTGGTTGCTGGAAGAATTCACTGTCATTACATCTGCCTAGTGCTCAGTGCAGCGAAAGAACATTCAGTAAATACTGCCTATCCCATTGTATAACCAGCACTTCTTGGAAGCCCCCTCTGCGCTGCATAACCAGAGTGGATTTAAGTCCTTCTTCTTGGACATCCACAGATATATGGATAAGTAAGTCTCTGACATAGCATCACTAACCTGTATACAGCAACACATTTGTGTGTCTGTCCCTCACTTTGATAGGTCATTTTCCCAGGCAGGAGCCAACCATCTCTTACTCATCTATATATGCCCAGCTCCTAGCAATAGCAACAGGCCCTGGAAATGCTCAATCACTGTGGAAAAAAGGAATGAAAGAAATAGGATATGCAAGTGGAGGCTTATTTTAGACTCCACAGCATCACGCTAGTTACTTAATATTATTACCTGTCAGAGAGAGCCAAGTTTTCACTGAACTGGTGGTTTGAATGTCAAGGCTGAGACAGTGTTGCCCTGGCTGGTTTGGGTCAGTGGCTAGAGCATCTGCCTGTGGACTGAAGGGTCCCGGGTTCAATTCCGGTCAGGGGCATATGTCCGGGTGGTGGGCTCTATCCCCAGTGGGAGGGGAAGGATTTGCAGGAGGCAGCCATCAATGATTCTCTCTTATGATTGGTGTTTCTTCTCTCCCTTTCCCTTACTCTCTGAAAGTCAATAAAAAAAAATTTTTTTTTTAATAAAAAGCAGGTGTCATGATGCTGCGGTCTTCAGTATTTCATAGCCATTTAACACACGTAAAACTATGCTACCCTCTTTATTAGGTTCCCATTTTCTTTTGTTTGTTTTTTTAATATGTTTTTAATTTATGTCAGAGGAGAGAGAAAGAAACATTAATGAGAGAGAATCACTGACTGGCTGCCTCCTACACACCCCCTAACTGGCAATCGAGCCCACAACCTGGGCATGTGCCCTGACCAGGAATGGAATTATGACTTCAATCACTGAGCCATGCCACCTGGGAAGGTTCCTATCTTCTTTTATTTTCCATGTCACGAGTCATGTTTTTGAGTGTTTAAGCATAATCTATTCTCTCTATAAGCCCTGTGGTGTCTGTTGTGTGATTTTACATATTGTGTTATACCAGAATGGACTGTATAGTAAATGAGCTAATATTATATACATTAAGTGCTAGGAACAGTGCCAGAGTGCAGTAGCATTAGCTATCATCATCATCATCGCCACCACCATCATCATCATTACTATCACCATCATCATCATCATTATTGCCATAGCCCCATGTTTCATGGAGGCAGAGGCCACAATAGCACTCAGTGTCTTGAAACTGTAGATCATTCAATAAACATCTGTGTGATTGACTGACAGGTCAACAATAACAGCTGGGATTTCTCTATAATGTTGCCTCCAAGGGTTTTCATGTACATCACTCAGGAAGATGCCCCCACTCATGTCCTGCAAGGGGGGATCCTCAGGGCCAGGACCAGTCCTCCCCTGCACTCTCCCACCATATCCCCATTGCCCTGCCCTCCTACCTTTAAGAAGTCAAAGTGCTTGAGCATTTGGGCCACTTTCTCCGCGTTCCTCCCTTCGTTGAGGAAATCCAGCTCCAAAGGCAGGTTCTTCTTGGCTTCATCCACCAGCCACATGAATTCAAACTCCGGGAACAGCTGTTTGACAGCTAGGACGAGCACCTGAAATCCATCAGGCACCCCATCAGTCGGCTCTTGACGCCCCACCAAGGCACCCTGTCCTCCTGCCTGGTCTAAAGTTGACAACCTGCCTGGTCTCCCCTGGAATAAGGGTGAGTGGGAAAACAGCTCCTAAGATGCAGGATGATAAAAAGCCACCAGGAGTAACAACAACTACCATTTGCTGAGCACTCCCCACGTGCCCTGCACTGGCTCAGCACTTGACTGAGTTACTCTACAATCTGGGAAGTACACAGTGCACACTCTTATCATCTCCCCATTTCATAGATAAGGAAATTGAGGTTCTGAGAGGTTATATGATTTTTTTTCCTGAACTTGCCAAGTAAGGAAGCACAGAAACAGAATTCTACTTGGGTCCACCCAGCCCCCAAAACCATTGCTCTGAAGCATGTCGCTGCACTGCTGTCTTCGCTGCTCCCAGGTCTTCACAGTTCAGTTTACGAAGGGCTGGCACTGTCACGGTGCTTTTATTTATTTCTTAAGCTCAGTCGTAGCACCTGAGCATGTATGTATAATGTTACTTTCTATACTTTTTGTACATCTAAACTATTTCATGATTTTAAAAAAATCAAAGTGGAAGAGAAAACAGATTAGATAAGATGAGTAAGAGATAAGGGATTTGACCACCTGGATGAAAAGCTCAGATTTGGGGCCATTTGGCCTCACGGTGGATTCTTGAGTGAGGACAGGATGAAAAGTGGAGAGTGGTTAGAAGACTCATCTGGCATTTCGTTGTCAGTTTAATGATGTGAAATTAAATGTCACTGGCAGAGAACCAGAGCCCAGGGGCATCTGCAGAGCATGCCCGGCCCCTCCCTGGGCAAGGACTCAGTTCTGAGGCCACCTCACCACCAGAGCTCTGGAGCTGAGACAGTCTCACAAGTTCACAGACATGGCTCTGCAGTGGGTGGGCAAGGTTGATGCCAGGGATGTGGGAGATGGTCCAGCAATCCCGGAGGGAAGCACAGCAAGCAAACCTCCTGCTCGCCGATAAACCCTCTGTTAGTGTTCAAAGTCGGGCCTGGGGAGACCACCGACCAACCCTCCCAGTAATTCTTGGTAGAGATTACAGTCCAAGTTTGAGATACCCCTCTCCACCCCTGGCTAGAACAGAAAGACACTGAGCAGGAATCAAGGAACCATGGGCCCGCTGGTACCTTCTCCAACCGTTATGGACTAAGTGCCTGTGGCCCCTTCCCTCCCCCAAATTGTTAGTTGAAAGCCTAACCCCAGCATGATGTTTGGATGTGGGGCCTCTGGGGGCTAACTGGGTTTAGATGAGGTCAAGGAGGTTGGCCCTATGATGGGATTAGTGTTCTTATAAGCAGAGAGAGAGAGCAAAGCTCACTCTTTCTCTGCCATGCAAGGACACAGAGAGAAGGTATCTGTCTTCCAGTCAGGAAGAAAGTCCGTACCAGGAACTGAGTCGTCCGGCACCTTGATCTTGGACTTCTAGCTTCCACCATTGTGAGAAATAAATGTCACAGTTTAAGCCACCTGGCCAATGGTATTTTGTTATGGTGGCCCCAGCAGCCTAAGACACCAGCCAGTCTATCCAGGAGGATTTACTGAGCCCCACCTATGAGCCTTGGCTTGTGCTTCCTTTTGTCCTGGTTTATATAATATTATGCCCAACACTATGTTCCTCACAAGTGGTACAAAATAAAGCTAAAGCAGAGCCATGAACTAAAAGGCATTAATGGTTTTGCTTTTAAAGACAAGTCCTAGGCTGTGTACCAGATGCTGGTCTAAAATAATCATCACACAAGGGTTATTATATTCAGTTTCTCTCAAAACTCTTTTTAATTGCATTCGGCTGTAGTCTAATTTCTTTTAAGTCTTGTCCAGTCTTTCACAGGCCAGACCTGTGACCTTATGATAATTAGTTTAGTTTATGTTTTGTTTCTGTTGGTGTCACATGAAACTGGAAGGCAGAGAGAAGTGGCAACAGCTAGGCCCAGGCCACATGTGCCAGACCCAGACACCTGGCCCAGCAGGCTCCAGGCACTGCATCTCGTCACCATGTCCTCAGATGGCCCTTAGCAGCCACCAAAGGGGAGGCAGAACTGGCGAACCTGCCCAGGCCTGGACCAGGGGCATACACGTCACCACCGGCACCTGAATTCCACGCTGGGCTCTGAGTTCAGGCAAGAAACCTCTTCGGACTTTGTTTCTGACCTAAATTCCAGAGGTTCTCACCCAGTAGGGTTGAGGGAAGGAGCCGCAATGAGGCTTGGTCAATTGTTCATTCAATATTTACTGATTACCTCCTAGGTCAGTGGTCAGCAAACTGCGGCTCATGAGCCACATGGGGTTCTTTGGCCCCTTGAGTTTTTAGCAAAGGCCAGCTTAGGAGTACCCTAATTAAGTTAATAACAACGTACCTACCTATATAGTTTAAGTTTAAAAAATTTAACTCTCAAAAGAAATTTCAGTCATTGTATTGTTGATATTTGGCTCTGTTGACTAATAAGTTTGCCGACCACTGTCCTAGGTAATGACCCTGGGCCAGATATGAGTATACACAGGGAGTTACATGCAACCGAGTTGAGTCTATACTTGGGAATGAGTCTTGTGGCCAAACAATAAATCCTCACCATTTACTGTACGATCACTGTTATTTGTGAAACTTTTCATGAGCATTAATATCTAAACAGCACAGATGGGCACTTTAAAGACTTTTCTGCTACTAATCAATTATATAATTAGTTATTAGTAGTACTATTGGTTATTTATTAATACCTAATGTCAATCATAAAAGCAATCAAAGATTTTATTGACTGATATTAATTGTTAATAACTTCTTAGTAAAATAATTCATAACCCAAAAAATTGTACAGAACTCACTAAACTGGTTTCTAAAGCATTCTCTGGGTGGTGAGTGAGTTACTCCCTGGGCTACTCTCTTATTTTAATCTGTTTTTATTGATTTGAAAGAGAGACAGGAAGGGGGAAGGAGAGAGAGGAAGAGAAACATTGATATAAGAGAGAAACATCAATTGGATGCTTCCTGCCCACTCCCAACTGGGGATCGAACCCACAATCTGGGCAGCACCCTTACCTGGAATCGAACCAGTGACGTTTTAGTTCATGGGGCAGCACTCAACCAACTGAGCCACACCAGCCAGAGCACCCTTGGTTATTTTAAAACAAAGCTCTGTTTGGATGGAAATTAATGATTCTTAGTTTTCTAGGAGGACACCATCCTCCTTAAAGGAAGTCACCAATTTAAAATTGTGATGCCAGCTATAAAGCCCAGCAGAATGTACATGCTCACATAATTTTGCACATAATTCAAGGGATGAGGAGAAGGGTCAGTTTAAGCATTGTCTGGTCCAAGTCACTGATCCGAGTCTAAAACTTTTCTTGGCTGAAGAAAATAAATAAAACTCAGTTTCACCTTCTGTTTTCATTCAATTCCCTTCTTAAGAACCTGCCCTAAGTAGATACACTCAAGTTTTTCTTTTTTGACAACAGATGCAATCAACTAAAATAAAACAGGTGTTGTTATCAATTTGACTTTTTTATTTTTCTTCCAAAATGTATTTTCTCCATAAAATTCTCCCAACAGCCAATATTTTCACCAGTGTCTAGCACATACTCAATACACGGCAGATGTTTATTGAATATTCACGTGAATAAGTCAGTGAATGAATAAATGAATGAACAAATGAACATTTCAAAGGATTTGTCCTCTCCCCAGAAATAATTATATGTTCACAAATGCGTTATTCAAATGGATTAAATTGTTCTATTTCTGAGATTTTGGTGGGATTGGGGATTATCTCCAAATCTGGGGCAACCACAGTTTTGGAATACCTGAGAATTTTCTACTGGATTGGAACATTATGAATCAATCAAGGCATATTCAACAGTTAATACCTCCTTCAAGATAGAATAATGAAATTATTTTCCTATAGGGTCATTGGCTCACAGAAGGGAAAATCAATTGTAGGCCACACAGAAATATAATGGAAAAATTGAGAGTCACATAAAAGCTTGAAAACTTGACTGTTATTGATAATAGCAAAAAGGGGGGGGAGGGGGATTTATGATTTAGTACCCACTACATGCCAGAAACTGTGCTGCAAGGCACATATAAAGTAGGTCTTCATTTCATCCTCTGCGTGCCCATTTCACAGAGAAGGAAACCAGTTCCAGTTGAAGTCCTTCTCAAGGTCAGTAGCTTGTAATTTCAAATGCAGGACTTGGACCTACATGTGGGGGGGTTTTGTTGTTTTGTTTTGTTTTTCCCTTCTTTCTTTATGCAGACTTGTCTCATGCAATACAATACAAAATGATACAATAGGAAGCTTGTGATAAGGCATAAAAAGAGCTTTGTAAACTGTAACATGCAGCTGAAATGCGAGTTCCTGTTATCAAGTTATTGTATATTATAAAAGAAATAATGTTCTATGGGCAAGAGCACACAAAATAGAACACCTGTGCAAACCCAAACTGGTAAAAATGGGTGTTTGACAAGGATCAAAAATCAATTCGAAGCTATGTAAATACCTTGGCGCTCATGGGCTTATCTTTGCTCTGATAAGTTGCTAAAGTGCACACTTTTTAGAAAACAGAAATACAGGGTGAAGAAAAGTTTCCGTGGGGTTGTTTACATCTCTGGGTTTTTAAAGATATATATATATATATCTTTAAAAATAAAATCAACCGTTGGATTCTGTGCCACACACAAACATTACCTAGCCTCCTACTGTTCAATCAACACATTCAGAATAGAAATGAGATGACAGCAGCATTTCCTCAAAATGTGGTTCCAAAAAAGTAAAAAACATGACTATCATACGCCTTTCTTTCTAGAGACCCTTGGGATGGGATGAGTGGCATTAAATGGGGGGTCAGATTCTGGTGCTCAGACCAGAGTCCCATCCCAAGACTGAAGAGCATGTTGGAGACGGTGGTACACGGAGGGTAGGGTGCCTGGCCATGAGTTATAGAGTCTTTAGGGGTGATAGTGCCAGGGGGTGGTCAGCATCAAACTCAGAATCTTGAGACATATCAGGGTGGTGTCACCATTGAGATGTGGGGAGCAGATCTCACCCCCGGTTCCCAGGTCACCCAAATCCTACCCTGCTCTCAAACCGTGAGAACACAGTGCGCCTGGCAACTGAGCTCCCTGCTATTGTGGACAGGCAGGAGCTGCTGCAAAGCCAGCCAGCCAAGGGTGGACTCTGCCTTGTCAGTTCTCCCTTTCTGCTGAATCATTGTTCCAATCTCTGGGTCTAATTAGTCTGGCTCTGGACAGCCACTCAAATCAATAAGAGTCACTGGCCGTGCATCTAGAAGTAGAGTTGCCCCAGCTTCTAAAGGGACAATATCAGGTGATAATGACAAAGCCAAAAAACACCCTTGGCTGTGCCTCTCTCTTTTGTGCAAAGTCACCCACATCATCCGGTTCATCAAACACCATTTACTGAGAGCTGGCCTTCACTTTCTCTGTCACCATTCAACAGTCTACCCCAGAAGCTGTCTCCTTCTCCCAAGAGGAGAGGCACGTTCACAAGAGACACAAAACACAAGGGTAGCCGAAACCAGTTTGGCTCAATGGATAGAGCGTCAGCTTGGGGACTGAAAGGTCCCGGGTTCGATTCCGGTCAAGGGCATGTACCTTGGTTGCGGGAATATCCCCAGTAGGGGGTGTGCAAGAGGCAGCTGATCGATGACTCTCATCGATGTTTCTAACTATCTCTCTCCCTTCCTCTCTGTACAAAATCAATAAAAAAAATATATTAAAAAAAAAAAAAAAAACCCACAAGGGTAGCACACACTATTGAGTGCCAACACAAAAGCCATGTCCCCCACTATCCTGGCTAACAGAACCTCAAATATGTGTATCTCTCATGTCCTTCAAGGAAGGCAGTCCTTTACCTGACAAGGTGAGCCATCAGAGTGGTCTTTCTCTCACCAAGTCCGATTTAGGCTGGAACAAATGACCAACTTCTGGCCAGTGAGAAATGAAGGGGATTCTGCTGAGGGGCTCCTTTTTATAAGGAATATGAGAAAAGAAACAGGACCTCTTCGGCATCTAGATGTCATCGACTTGTAATAGCAGAAACAACTGCTACTGTTTAGGGACCATGAAGGGAATTACCTTGGAAGGACAAGCCAGAATGGAAGATGGAAGACCAAAGGAACCTAGGTCCTTAAAAACCACAAACCCCTAATCAGTTTGGCTCAGTGGATAGAGAATCAGCCAGTGGACCAAAGGGTCCCAGGATCCATTCCGGTCAAGGACATGTACCTCAATTGCAGGCTCCTCCCCAATATGGGTCTTGGTCAGGGTGCATACAGGAGACAACCAATCGATGTGTTTCTTTCACATCAATATTTCTCTCTGTGTTTCCCTCTCTCTTCCCTCTCCCTAAAAAACAATGAGAAAATATCCTCAGGTAAAGATTAAAAAACAAAACAAAACAAAAAAAAAAAAAACACGAAGTGCTAGATTAGTCAATAATGGAAAAGTTGACACGACCACAAGAAGTCTTGAAATGTGAGATAATATAGGTTAATGATTATTTATTTCACTTTTAGTTGAATTTTCTGATACCTTGGTCAACAACATCCTAATGATACAATCAGTAGTCCCCACTCCTCATGCTCAAAAGCCTAATTCCTGTAGACTTTACAGCAGATTCACATTTGGATTTATAAACTCACTAGAGGCTCTGTGCATAACATATGTGCACTGGCGGGGGGGAAAGTGGCCCCTCAGCCAAGCCTGCACCCTCTCACAGTTCAGGACCCCTCGGGAGATGTCCGCCTGCCGTCTTAGGCCCCAGGGATAAAGCCTTAGTTGGCAATCAGAAATCCCTCTCTTAGTCTGGGGCTCTCACAATCCAGGACCCTTGCTCCTTACTGCCACCTGTAACGGAGGCGGGAGAGGGGGTGATATCACCAGCCATGAGCCCAGCTTCCAGCTCAGCTGCACTCCCACTGTGGGAACACACTGTCCACCCGGGGGCAGCTCCTGCATTGCACATCTACCCCCTGGTGGTCAATGCATGTCATAGCAATCAATCCTTATGCCGTTTGGTCAATTTATATTTTAGCCTTTTATTATATAGGATTTCTTAAACTGCAAATATCCATAGGTTAACCCTATTAGTCACTCTCTCCTTAGTATGCATTACTTTGATCAGCTAGTTTTTCTCTCAAGGCCATACTGTGATCAATCTCTGGGTCAGAGAGGAGAGATGAGCAATAGTGGGCAGTGGGAGGGAAGGATAAGGGCTCACAACACCTGGACCTGTGGTGAGAGGAAGCATCAGAAGGCTGTGCAAAAGAGTGGCTTTGCCTGCCCTTTGTCTCCAAGTTTCTGGTAGCTAAGATGACCCTAGTACCTAGAAATCATTCTTCTCCTGCCAAGCATCCCTAAGCACCCTTCTGGGGTTGTCATTCCTAAAACTAAGCCCCATTTTAGGTCTGGACTCAGAAAAAACACAAAATAATTTCAAATATAAAATAAAATGAGCTTTCCATGGTCAGGCTCTTCTTAGCTTTACAGCAGAGAAGGGTGACCCAGGTCGAATACTTCCACCAGAGATGTGTCCAGTGAGAAGGCAGTGCCACCTGGTACTGTTAGTAATGCTGATGGCTCACGGAGGTGGTGACCTCAGGCCTCAGTTCCAGACTCTCTGCTTAAGGCTGCGAGTACAGGACTCTGATCTGCCTGTGATCCCAGCCCCAGCGTGGCCTCAGCCATGTGAAGAAGCCACTTTGTATTCTGCACATGGCCATTAGGCTGCTCTTCCCAAGAAAAGCATCTGATGCTTATCTCCAGAAGATGCCAAATCTTTATCACTGCTATTATTGCGATTGACCCTACGGCCACCATTACTTAGGGAGCCAGCAAGGCTCTGAGCAGAGAAAAAAGTGTCAACTGTCCTCCTGACAACACGGCTGGCCAGAGGCAGGTTCCCACCTGACACAGGAGCAGCTGCTGGGTCTCAGGACGGCGGGGGATCCTCCAAGACCCCCGGTCCCTCCCAGCAATAGCCATTCCATAGCCGCCGACAGGTGTTCCAGAAAACCTAGGTTTCCAGAGTGATTCCCAGGGCCACCCAGCAATCCTGTTCTCTTCCAGCAACTATCTCAAACTTTCCCCCCTATTAGAGCCTCCAAAGCCACCTCCTACTCCCTCTTTCTCAGCAGATGGTCTTGCCTCCCACCTCAGAGAAAAAATAGAGGCTATCAGGCTGGTACAACTCAGATGCCCACCTTTCCCTCATTTTCCCCTCTGCCCCATACACCTGTCTGTTCCCAGCCTGACCACTTTCCTCCAGCCTCCAAACAAAGGCTGCTGGTTCCACCTGCACCCTTACAATCCGTCCCCTGAGTCTCCCTCTGGACCATACCTATGAGAGATTTTCTCTCTCCTGAACTTTCAATCCCTCTCTCCGCTGCTGTCAGTCCCATGGCTGCCTTTACTGACCTCTAATCCTGGCTCTGCACTGACCTCCCCTCTTACTCCCCTACCACCGATGGTGCAACGTGAGAAGAGTAATCTATGTTAACTTGCCCCCATTCCCTGGGCCTCAATCCTCCTTCACCCACTCACTGCACTCTCCTTGCTCCTCCCAAGCACTCCAAATCACCAAATCTAACAGGCCCTTTTTAGAGTGCCACTCATTCAACTCCCCTTTGACGTGTAATTCTGGCAGGCTGTATTTTCCAAAATGGCTGCAACGATATCTCCCACTGTAATGCTCTAGAACCATCCAGAAGTAAGTCTATTTCCCACCTCTTTCTCAAAGGGGGCCTCCGTGACTCCTGCTGTTACCAATAGAGTGAGGAGAAGCAGCCTGCATGACAGCTAAGGCGAGGTCATAAAACTAGGATGGGCTTTCAGCCTTATTCTCTTAGGCAGCACTTCATTCACTCCGAGAACCTAGCAGCCATGTTGTGGGGAAGCCCAAGACACCGTGGAGGGATGACCTGGAGAGGACATGTGGCCGTGGCCCACATCCCTGGCTGAGCTCCCCGCCAACAGCCAGCACCCACTTGCCAGCCACATGAGTGGGCCACCTTGAAGTAGGTCCTCCAGTTCCCATCAAGCCACCCAGCTGGCACCTCTTACTCTCCTGTCATTTTTATATCCCTTGGCTGTCCACATGCTCTCTTTCATCATAACTTAACAAATTAAGATGTAATGTTTCCACCCCCAAGGAAATCACCTCTAGTTCGTCTCATTTTTACGGTATCTGTTCAATGTTCTGAGACCACCCACATGCCATTCCCAGGAACAAACTGACCAACCCAGCCCTGGGTCGCATGGTCACAGCACTGCCATGCTACGTCCTCTCTGCCACTGCTGCTCAAAGGGCCACACCACCCACCAGCCTGGGGCCAGTTCCCCTGGTACTGCCTGGATCGCAGAATGAGGAGGAAGGCAGATGAAAGGGAAGGTTCTCACCTCCATCAGGAGAATGTCCTTTGAGCTCTGCATTTGCACCTTAGGGTGCTGGACCTTCACAGCCACTGTCCGCCCGTCATGCAGCACTGCCTTATGGACCTGGGCCAGGGAAGCGGCCCCCATAGGGGTGTCATCAAAGCTCACAAACAAATCAGGGATCTGTCAAGAGTAGAGAGAAGGTGGAACAATTAAGATGACTGAATTCAGTGAAAGGGGCCAGGCGGACAGGCCAAAGCTGTGCTGCCTGATGCCCCCACCACAGATTTTCTTCTGTCAGTTGTATGTCAGCCCAGCTCCTGCTGCCAGAGATTCGAGGGTGGGAGACAGAAAACACATTGGAGAACGTGTTCTCACACGTGTACAAAGGTGCCCTGAGCACTTCCATTTAAGGCCAAAGAAGTGCTATCTAGAACAGCGGTCACCAACTGGTGGTCCACAGACCACTGATGGTCCATGAGGTCTGAAAGGTTGGCAACCGCTGGTTTATTTTTTTGTTTTTTTCATATATTTTATTGAATTTTTTACAGAGAGGAAGACATGCCGGCAACCAAGGTACATGCCCTTGACCGGAATCGAACCTGGGACCCTTTAGTCCGCAGGCCGATGCTCTATCCACTGAGCCAAACCGGACTTGGAAGATAACCACTGATTTAAGGAAATCTTTGGAGCAGCGGTCGTCAACCAGTGGTCGTGAGGTCCAAAAGGTTGATGATTGCTGATCTAGAATGTTCAAGAAATGTGCATTATCAACCCATGTAATTACCTACCACAGTATCTCCCAGGCTCTTACATATGGATACTAGAGGCCCAGTACACAAAATTCATGCATGGGGGGAACGGAGGTCCCTCAGCCCAGCCTACACCCTCTCTAATCTGGGACCCCTCGGGGGATATCTGACTGCTGGTTTAGGCCCAATCCCTGTGGGCCTGGTCGCCCCCAATGACCCTCCCCTGCAGGCCTGGTCATCCCCAACTGCCCTCCCCTGCTGGCCTTGTTGCCCCCAACTTCCCTCCCCTGCCAGCCTGACCTCACCCCCAACTGCCTTCCCCTGCCAGCCTGATCTCACCTCTAACTGCCTTCCACTGCCAGCCTGATTGCTCCCAAGTGCCCTCCCCTGCCGGCCTGATCGCCCCTAACACCCTGCCAGCCTAATCTCGCACTTAACTACTCTCCCCTGCCAGCCTGATCTTGCCCCTAACTGACTCTGCCTAGGCTCCCACCACCATGGCTTTGTCCAAAAAAAAGTCAGATGTCAGTAAGATGGCCAGTTGACCCAATCTAATTAGCATATTACCTATTTATTAGTCTAGATTGGTGGTCGGCAAACTGCGACTCGTGAGCCACATGCGGCTCTTTCGCCCCTTGAGTTTTTAGCAAAGGCCAGCTTAGGAGTACCCTAATTAAGTTAATAATAATGTACCTACCTATATAGTCTAAGTTTTAAAAAATCGGCTCTCAAAAGAAATTTCAATCATTGTACTGCTGATATTTGGCTTTGTTGACTAATGAGTTTGCTGACCACTGGTCTAGATAATTAAAAGTTAACAGAACCTGGGCTCAGGGAAGCCCGAGACATGGGTCAGATGGAATACTTCCCACCAGGCCAACCTGGAGAGTTCAAGGAACCCTGGCTGGAGACTGCACACCCCATAACCACCTCATATTCCTGCTGAACAGCAGCCTCAACATGGGTCCCCAAGCCCATTCTCAGCTCAGACACCTGGCAGAGATCTCAAGGCTGCATGCCCGAGCCTTGCAGTTGGCCCTCACCTGCAGTACCATCCAAAGGTAGCCTTGGACGAATCCCCTGCCCTTTCTGTGCCTCGCTTTCTCTATGAAATGGAACATATACCCTTATTCTTCCACCTTCTCTTTCCTTCTGCCTTCCCTCTTTTCTGAATAGAAATGCCATACTGCCCAGTTGGCGTGGCTCAGTGGTTGAGCATCAACTCATGAACCTGGAGGTCACAGTTCTATTCCCGGTCAGGGCACATGCCTGGCTTGCAGGCTTGATCCCCAGTAGGGGGCTTGTAGGAGTCAGCCGATAAATGATTCTCACTGATGTTTCTATCTCTCCCTTCTTCTCCCTGAAATCAATAAACACATTTTAAAAAGGAAAAGAAAAAGAAAAAGAAAAAGAAAAAAGAAGAAAAGTAAAAGAAATGCCAGACCAATTTTCCTGAAGGAAAAAGTCTTTCTGACTTGAGTGGTCACACCTACATGATCCAGATATAAATATCTTACCAGATGGGAAGGAGGTCCCCAAAAATCTTTTGCAAGATCGGCCAAGGCTGAAATACTCAGCCCCTCTGTTTCTTGAAGTCCCTCAGCAGCCTCACAATGCCAGAAAGTCAAGACATTTACACACACACAGCTACCCAAATGTGTATGTGGATAGTCACACACCTCCCCTCCTCACACATCCAGGTTGGCAGGCTGTGCCCCTACCTCCCTCTGTCCCCTTCTGCAGCAAACACCTAACCCCTCAGCGCCTCTCCCCTCCTTGGACTCCAGAAGTTAGGTGACCCACAGCCACCATCCCATCCCATTTGCTAGGCTGCACCATCACTTTGCTAATCTTGTCTCATAAATCACTCCCTCCAGCCCTGTCATCATCTTTTAGCTTTCACTAAACTCCATCCCATTTATCAACATCCTGTGGAGGCCAAAGGTCCAGGCAACTTGGGAGGGGCATACACTTTACTGTCACAAGATGGTACGGATTAGCTTCCCTGCCCCCTCCTTCCTCATTGGGTTTTGATCTGTACCCCTCCCAGTGCCCACTTCCCTCTTCTGCCTCAACCATGCACTCATCTTTTCCCTCCTTTGTGAGTTCTAGGCTCCCCAAAGGCCATATTCTTCCCATATCATCCACCCCCAGAATCACCCTGAATCTCTCTGCACAAGACCCTTTTATCCTGGAATTTGGATTAAGACAATGCAAGACCACCAACCATATTTACCTCATTAGAACATCAACTCCCAGTGGGCAGACACTTTTGTCTATTTTGTTCAATGTTGAATTCCGTGCACTTAGAATAGGGCTGGAACTAGTCAGTGACAAAGATTTGTTGAAGAACTGAATCCACTATTCTCTCCATTGGAGAACTGGATGAACTCTTCCCTTTGAAATGGCTGGGTCTTCCAGATCTCATATTCCTACTAATCCAAAGGTCTCAAGTGGAAAAGTGCATGTCAAATGTAAGGTTTAACTATGTTACTCCAGGATGAGTCTGGCCAATCAGAACCCTGAATACTCTGAACCACAATGATTGGTTCTGAGATAGACACATGACCCAACTGGTCCAATCAGACTCAACCATTTTACTTTTTTTTGAACTGTAGAAGAAGGGATTCTTTCTTTCTGCTAAAATTGTACTTGAAGCCTAGAGATGCCTGGGGTCACATAGCAGCAACAAAGAGGAAAGCAAAGCCAAGAGACAGAAAGAGTAAATCCTAATCACAATGGTTGAGCCCCTTGATCTAGCCATGCCTGAATGCCCACCCTATAATTTTTTTTTTTTTTTTTTTTTTTTGCTTAAGTCAGTTTGAGCTGTTTTTTTGTCATACACAACAGAAGGGGCTCTGACTGATACAGTGTGTTCTCTGCCTCAGCTGGGATAAATTGAAGAAACACAGGCATGGTGCCAGGCATCCCTAAAAGGCTCAGTAAGTATGAGTTCCCTCCTCTTTCCATTCTCTTACTGGGACAAGGGATCCAGGAATAGGAGAACTTCAGTAACGCTCCCGGCTGATATATAATGAGATCGCCATTAGTTCTTTTGGGAACCCTCTGGAGTTCCTGCAGGAGCACCTAGAACACTTTCAGGAGCAGAGCTGTGAACTAGCACCCTCACCTCCCAGGCAGATGAGACAGCCCAATCTCTCCATTGCAAAGGGACTTAGGAGTGACCTGACCTCACTCCCTGGGAACATTGGCTCATTCGCTGAGACGGACAACACGTCTTCAAATCAGTGTCATTTCAGGGACATTGCAGAGTCATTGCATCTCTAGGGCTGTGTGCAAAAAACAGCTGCCAAGAGCACTCCAAGGGGAGGTGGAGAAAGGAAAGGGCTGAAGCAAGCATCGCAATCTCCAGGGTAAGAGGAAGCCTTGTCCCCCCTATCCCCAGGGGATAGGAAGGGGGCCTCCCATAATCCCCTGCTCCCACCAGGGGATGGAAGGAGTCCCAAACCCAACTGTCAACTCAGCAACCTGAAAAAGGCCCAGCTCTAAGGACTTGTCCAAAAACCCAATCTGACCAGTGGAGGCAAAGACAGGCATGGCACATGAGGATGCACCACTCACTTGGCACAGGGAGCCTGTCAGGCAGGTACCCCACCCCACCCCAGCCTGCCCACCACCCCCCAGTGCCCCAGCAGCCATCTGTTCCCTCTCTGTCAGAGAGCAAGCTACACACCCATACCCTCCTTACACACACACACACACACACACACACACACACACACACACACAATAACTGATTGCTAGTGGATGTTCCTAGCTGGCTTATAATAAAGGTAATTAAAGATTGGTGCTACAGCCTATAATTAAATATGAATAAAGTATCTCTAAATGGAACCTTGATTCAAAGTGTTCAGTGGAAGTACTTTAAGCTGATAGATAGGAAGGAAAAACAGACCCTGTCCTGAAAGCAGAATTACACCCCCCACACAGCTGAAACAAATGCAACCCCCCTCCACTCAGATCTGGTCCCCCAGCCCTTTCAGCAGAAAACCATTAGCAGAAACAACTGCAGCATGGACAGCAATTAGATTCAAGATGGGCCTCGGCTGCCTCCAGTCAGTGCAGAAACCTCTCTCCCCTAAGGCTTTCTCCCCCCACTCCACTTAGCCTCCCCACCCCCAACACACACACACATACTACCTTTTTCCTCTGGGTGTGGTGGCAAAATCAATTAAGTAAAACAACTGCATTTTAAAATGACTAGTTATGTGCTTTTTAATTACTGTCGGCCCATGATTCAAATATATCGATGTCCTTGTCTAAAAAAGGAAAAATGATCAGGAAAAAAGTTTCTCTAGATTTGTATGGTCTGTTTTTGTGGGTTGTTTTTTTTTAAGGGGTGTGTGGGGAGATTAAAGGGGGGTTTTTTGAGCAGAAAACATGAAGGGCAGGAAACAATGTGTCACCCCC